ATTTCATAATATTTTATAATTATAAATTAAACAATACGTGTTAAAACATCAGTTTTTTAGTACATTAAAAAAATATAAGACTTGAACATTATAAATAACACGTAATGGATGATTAATAAGTTTACGAAATCAAAAAAACATCTACATCAATAAAATACATTCTTTAATATCAATCAATACAAGTGTTTCATTTTGTAGCATTTAAAATTTAAATCGAATACTACTGTAAATAAAACACGTTCAAAAAAATATTTCAATATATTATGTGGAATCATTTGAAAACTTGTATAGCGATATCTATATTACAGAGAATGAATAAACTTATTCAGTTTCATAACTTCTTTACCGACTAGCTTTTTGCATTTATTGTTAGTTACAAATTAAAAATTAAACATATATTATTCACATACAATAAATATCAATTTATTTCACTGAATAAGACCTTGCAATAGTTCACTATACAAAAAATTGTATTATTTATAAAAATAAAATATAATAATTAACTTGTAAATAAAATTTGCGTTACACTTTAAATTTAAGCTAATTTATAGGTTTGTGATTATTAAGAATTTAAGTCAATACTGTAAATATTTGAATACGTTACTAGTTAAATGAATATGTAGAACAGACATTTAACAAGTACGTAAGTTTCCCTTCTATGATATAGCAACTAACAGGTTTTAAAATTCAAATGTTTTCATACAGCCGTTAATGACAAGATTTTTGTTTGTCTCGTTTTATTGTTATAAAATGATCGGGATATCTACCAGTCAAAATATTTTCTTCTTAATACTGTTATTATAATTAAAATTCCTTAATTATATATAAAATTAAGAACTTTATATTGATATAATGGCTGTAAGCGCATCTTTTCATCGTAATGTACTCTTATTGTCTCAAGTAATTCAACCTAGTGATGAGTTCAAGAAACATTTCCGTGAGGTATATTTTTTATTTAAAAATTTAGTGTGCTCAAAATATGCTTAACTGGATTGCTTTTGTTATAGATTTCAATTATTTCAATCTTTTAATTTACAGGGTATGTTCGATAAACCCAATACAGCAGGTTTCTTACATGTTTCGTATTATTTATTAACAATACATGATTCAGATCGCTTTAAAAGAATAGTTGAATGGCCAGTGAATTGTAAAAAAGCTGAAGCAACGTATCGTAACAATGTTAAAGACTATTTAATAAGTCTATCTGCTGAAAATCCTGACATTGGTTTCCCAAATATACTTATGTCTCATTTAATTCATGCAGGTGGAAGAAAATTTACTATCATTATGTGGAAATTATCTCAAGTAGTTATAAGAAGATATATTACCCGGGAAAGTAAGAATTTTATTATCAAAAATGTTTTTCTAATACAAGAAAAAGATTACTTGACATTTTATTATATTACTAGTATTAATCCTATTTATTATAAATTCCTTTTATTTGTAAATGAATATTGTATAAATGTTACTGTTCTTCACTTTTGCAGCCACTTACAATGTTATATTTGCACCACAAGTAGAAAGAAAATTTAATAAAAATAAAGGACATTTACCAAAAAAGTTTCTACAAAAAACCAATGCAAAAATTAATTCTGACATTTTAAATCAACACAAAAATTTATCAAAAATGGAAAATACAACTAAACTTATTTTAGAGTAATATCTTTCCTTTTGTATATATGTAAGCAAAAATTTGATCGAAATTTTAATTGAAATTTTAATTTTATTATTTTATTTTTCA